AAAAAAAAAATCACAAAATACAAGTCTCAACCAGATAAGAAAGGGATAGCCAATCAAACAAGGGAGAATAAAAGTAGCAAAATACCTCTGGTGTCTACAGTTCTGTAATAGTATCCACGTCAGACTCCAGAAATGTGCTGTGTACTCTGCTCAAGTTTGTTATGGGAACTGTGCTGGGTGTGGAGCTGATCTTGGCCTCTGAATGTGGGGGCTGGGACTTGTCTTCTGTTGGTGGAGTTCTCAAGACCCCAATTGCTGGCTCCTCTTTGCTAATTCAGACTCTTCCATATCGATGGTCTTGATCATTCCATGCCCCCAGGATTAGCTGTCTTGGTGTCATGGGTTCTGGTCGGTCTGCCTGCTACGGTGTATGTCTGCCTCCACACCAAGGCCTGTCCTCTTCCCACCAGCCTGTCCTGAATCTTGTGGATTCTGGCCTCATCTCATCCTTTTAATATACATACATGTTGTTATATATCTGTTAATAATACTCATTTTAGTATAATTTGTATAAATTTTAAGACTTACATGGAATAGATAATTAAGAGAAGGGGTGTGTTTTGCATAAGTACATGAAATACAGTACCCTTTACTGAGCTATATATTATGATATCATGTGACTCAAAACTCCCACAACCAGAAAGTCAGATTTAAATGTTTTGTTCTTTTTCCTGGGGTCATCATATGACACCTTAATTTGTTGCAGTTGTGAATTCAGATACAGGGACAGATAATATAAACAAAATCTAAAGGTGAGCAAAATATAAAAGTATCTTCTAAGTTATGACAATTTTATTCCAGAGGCATTATGGGAGTCCAGAACAGAGACCAATAGTATAGCTATAATAGCTAAGAGGAAGGACAGGGAGCATGGCCATAAGGCATCCAAGAGGGGGCCAGTGAAAGGGACTACCAAAGTGTAAAAGGACACATGGACAAGAATACACATAATTTGTTGAATCATACTGTTATTTGACATTAATTGAACAGGCAATATTGTGGTAATTTTCTGTGCTTTTTTCCTCAGATAGCTATGAAATAATTCTTCCTCCATGAAGATGAATAAGAACAGCAAAATTTTCAAGTTTATTGACATACAATACATGTTTTTCTTTGAAGTCATCATTGGAATCATAGCTAATACAGTACTGCTTCTCTTTTATGTCTTCCTATTTCTCCTGGAGCACAGACTCAACCCTATCAATCTGACCATTGGCCACTTGGCCCTTATTCACATTGTGATGCTGGGAACTTGTTTCATAACAATAGATATTTTTGGATTTCAAGTTTTAGGAGATGACATTACATGTAAATTGGTTATATATTTGCACAGGGTGATGAGGAGCCTCTCCATCTGTACCACCTGCCTGCTGAGTGTCCTCCAGGCCATCACCCTCAGCCCCAGAAGCTGCTGTTTGGCAAAGTTCAAACAGAAATCCCTGCCCCAGAACCTGTGTTACTTTCTCTTCATATGGGTCCTCAATATGGTCATCAGTGCCCGTTTCTTAATCTCCACTATTGCCACCCCTAATGTGACTTCCCCAAACCTTATGTTTGTCACTCAGTCCTGCTCCCTTTGGCCCGTTAGTTATCTCCTTAAATATATAACTTTCTCCTTGATGATTTTGCAGGAAATTTCTGTTATAGGGCTCATGGGACTCTCAAGTGTGTACATGGTGCTTCTTTTGTACAGGCACAGAAGGCAGTCCCAGCACCTTCACAGTACCAAATTATCTCCAAAAGCATCCCCAGAGCAAAGGGCTACTCACACTATTTTACTGCTCATGAGTGTCTTTATTGTTATCTATGCTTTGGACTGTGTCATCTCCTCAACATCTGGAGTGTTCTGGAAACGTAACCAGATTCATCATTATATCCAAATGCTGGTTGGCAATGGCTATGCCACAATATGTCCTTTGGTGCTAATCAGTACTGAAAAAAGAATGATGAAGTGTTTAACATCCAGGTCTTAAAAAGATGGTTAATATTTGTTTATTAGCTGTACATTTCTTTGACAATGAGCAAATTCTTTAAATTTTTTTGTTTTTCTTTTTTTAAAAATTTATTTTAAAAATAAAAGGAAAATATATTAATAAATAGACATTCATTTACAAAATAGCATAAGAACAATATGAACAATACAGAGTTACAGACAAAGTTGTAGGAAATTAACAATGGTTGTTGTATTACTTATTGATATCTTAAAGTGGTTTCTCAGGAAAACAAATAGAGACATGCAAGACTGATCAAACAAGTAATCATTAACTGTTCCTTTCAGTAAAGCAATAGTCTTTAAATTTTTTTGGATCATTGACATATATAGAATTATGCTTTTCCTTTTAAAAATATTTACTTTGATATATGTGACTGAGAAATACAGAGCAGATAATTTAACTGTATAACTCTGATAAACTACAGTCTGTGAATTTTATCAAAAGAACATAAAGAACTACACGAAGAACTAGAACTCTCACCTGATCTCAAACTCTAAAGAATGTGGTACATTACTTTTTTTCTGGAATAGCTTAGGACAGTAAGAAGAAGCCTGAACAATGCATTACAAATCTGAAGAAAAAAAATAGGGTTTGTTGTTGTGTTTATATTTTCACAGATACTGTATAAGTCAATATTTGCCATTGTGTATGTTTTCATATATGAAGTTTATTTCATTTCAGTTACATCTCACAAACCATATTTTAAAAATGGAGAAAGTGAATATGAAACCTTAGTGAGCACTTTGATGACTTTACTAAATTATTAAATAGCACATGCATAATACCTATAAGTGACAAGAGAATGCAAGTAAATTTGTAGGAGATCATTGTTACCATCAGCTCTATATGGATTTGGAAAAATGTTTATTTTTTTTATTTTAAAGATAAAGGAAAGAAACCATATTCACAGACACACAGACATTTACAAAGTAACACTAAAACAATACAAACAATACATATTTTCAGACAAGGTAATAGGGAATTAGCAATGGTGGCTGTATTACATATTGATATGTTCAAACTGGCTACTCAGATAAACAAATATAAGCATGTAAGATTGATCAAATAGTTAAACATTAATGTTCCTTTCAATAGAGTAATAGAAATCAGTAGTACAACTATCTTAGCTATCCTGTGTATGCCTATATATGTATTGTTCCCTTATTTCTTTCTTTTCTCTTTTCCTGCATCTCAGCTCCTCCCCTACTAGAGCAATTTCCTTAACCTTCATAATATCCATTGTGCCCATCAGACTTCATTCATTCCCTCATTCCTCCACTAGTGAGACAATATGGTGTTTACACATGTGGGTCTCATTTATTTCACTTATGAGCATGGTCTCTAGTTGTGACCATTTACCTATAAAAGCCCTGAATTTATCTTTATAGCTGAGTAATATTCCATTATATAAAAATACCACAACTTTTTTATCCATTCTTCAGTGGCTGGGCATTGGGGTTGTTTCCATGATTTAGCTATTACAAATTGTGCTAGTATAAACATGGGTGCACATGTATCTCTGTGATATGATGCTTTCAGTTCTTCTGGAAAAGTACCCAAAAGGGAAATAGCTGGGTGCAATGGGACCTCTACTCCTAGTTTATTGATGAATCTCCTGACTGATTTCCACAGTGGTTTCACCAGTCTACACTCCCACCAACAGTGGAGAAGTGTACCTTTTCCCCCACAGCCCCTCCAGCATTTGTTATTGCTTGATTTCTTGATGATAGCCATTCTTTCTGGGGTGAGATGGAATCTCAGTGTTCTTTTAATTTGTATTTCTCCAGTGACTAATGATGTTGAACACTTATTCATGTATTTATTTCCCATTTGTATTTCTTTATCTGAGAAGTGTGTATTCATCTCAGATGCCCATTTTTTGATTGGGTCTTTGAATTTGGAGGGGGTGATTTTTTTTAAATTCTTTATATGTTCTAGATAGAAGTCCTTTGTCTAAGGGAGAGTTGCCTAAAATTTTTCCCAATTTGTGGGTTGGAAAAAATATTTAGAAATTCCAAAAGTGCAATATAGTTTAAGTTATTGTGGCCACAATTCCCTACATATTATTTACTGAACTAATGTGAGTACTTAACCACAGAGGGTAATAAGATTCATTATCTGTTCCATTCCTCAATTTACACATGCTTATAAAAATCTACACTATGAACACAAAATGAACTGAGGTAATTGTACGCAGAATACAGTATAATTTCAGACCTTCAACTTTGTATTTTTGTTTCAGAACCTGGTATTTGGAACTAGTTTGGTACTTGGAAGCAATACCATTTTAATGATTTTCTGATTTCATTATAATTTTGGTGTTATCTTCATTTTGCTGTTATTTTCATGTGGAAAAATCCAATTAAATCATTTCATTATGATTCTTGAAATAACAGAAAGTTTGTAGTAACAGAAAATGTGCACAAACTAAACTCAATATTTCTTTCAAAACAATTTTTATGCAATAGGATATCTGTGCAATGTGTTTCTGGGACTATTGTTCTTAAATGTGTATCACATGGATAGTGTTGCTGAAAATGATATTACAAGCTGTTTGGTGTGAAAACCTCCTGCTATAAATTCTGGATAAGTTATGCACACATTTATTAAAAAGCCTGGAGTGGTGACAAAACTAAGTGTCATTCTAGTATCCAAATATAAAGATTATCCAAAAGGAATTATGAGTCCTGGAGTCCACCCCCATCCCCACTGGAGCTGAGCTGCACCTCAGACACCTTTGGGAATTCTGGTGAGGTGCTGCTGTCCCCAGGACAAACATGAGCTTGGGAACTAGGCAGAAACCCGGTCAGCTCTAGGGGCCGGGAGCCCACTTGCCACCCTTTCCTTCCTCCTCACTTCCCTCCCTGGAGCTGAGCTGAACATCAGAGAGCTTCAGGAATGCCGGTGAGCTGCCGCCACCCCTCCTCTACAAGCTTGGGAACCAGGCAAAAGCTCGGACAGCTTTAAGGGCCTGGGATCCACTCCCTACCCTTCCCCTCCTCCCCCCATCCACCATTGCAGCTCAGCTGCACCTCAAACAGCTTTGAGAACTCTGGTGAGCTGCTGCCACCCCCATACACGAGCTTGGGAGCTAGGCAAAAACCCGGACAGCTCTAGGGGCCTGAGGTCCACTCCCCGTCCTTCCCCTCGTCCCCGCTTTCCCCGTTGCAGCTGAGCTGCACCTTAGACAGGTTTAGAAATTCCAGTGATCCAGCTCCACCTCTGCCCCACCAGCTTGGGTGTCAAGGGGAGTCCCAGACAACCTCAGGGCCCTTGGGTGCTCCTCCCTGCACCTACCCCAAGCCCTCAGGGAGCTAAGCTGAAACTTAGACAGTTTCAGACACCTCTGTGACTGAGCACTTACCCCCCAATGGTGTGGGGTAGGGGCAGTGAATGGAGATGCAGTGATCACAACCCGCCCACCATACACCCTAATGGAAACAGGGCTGAAACTTGGACATCTTTGGGAACCCTTGAGTGGGAGCCAAGCTGAGCCACAGATACCTGTGGGAGCATTGGGGATAGCACCATGTCCGCACACACACACCATGAAGGGAGTCACACTGAACACCGGGGACCTTTGGTTCTTTGCCACACTACTACGACATCATTCTGGGAGTGAGGCTGATGTCCAGGAAAACTCTGTATTTCTGAAAATAACAAAATGAAGGAGCAAAATGCAATCTCAGACCTCTACCCCACCTAGAACAAGTCCAGGAGATATCAACACAGACGAGTTTGGAAGTCATACACCTGAAACTTCTGAAATGATAGCAATTGAATTAAAGAAACAACTCCATCAGGCCATGGTAGACATCAGATCAGAAATAATCTCTAGGGTAAAAAAAAAGAAATGACAACAATAATGAAAGAATTGCTTAGCCCATCTAAAGAAGGCATAGATAAAAATAGAGGAGCATAAAAAATTCATGGAAACCCTGAATGAACAGTACAGGAAAGAACTGGAATTCTTGAAACAGATTCAAACAGATATCCAGGAAATTAAAGATTCCATCGAAAGCTGGCAAAACCACTGTATGAAGCTAAAGATAGACTTTCATATCTTGAAGACAGCATTGCTGTGAATGACCATGAAAAGAAGGATGTCTTAAAAATAACAAGAAACCAAGAAATAACAATTCAACAGCTGCAAGACAAAGCAAAGAAAAACAATGTAAGATTAATAAGTATCAATGAAACAGCAGGTGTCAGCACAAATGATGTAAAAAGACTATTTGCAGAAGTAATAGCAGAGAAGTTCCCAAGCATGGAAAAAGAATTGGACATTCAGGTAAGTGAGTCATGCAGCACTCTACCTAGCCATAATCAAAATAAATCTACACCCAGACACATAGTGAGCAAGATCCCAGAAATTCAACAAAAGAATAGAATATTAAAAGCTGCTAGAGAAAAGAAACAGATTACCTATAAAGCAAAGCTCATCAGAATCACGGCAGAATTCTCAACACAAACCATCAAGTCAAAAGGAGCTTGGAGTGAAATATTTCAGGTATTGTAAGAAAACAACTTCCAACACAGATTGATATACCCTGCAAAACTGTCCTTCAAAATTAATGGAGAAATAAAATATTTTCATGATAAAGATCAACTGAAGAACTGCATGAAAGCCAAACCAAGTCTACCAAGAGTACTAAAAGATATTTTAGAAAGAGATAAAAAAGGACCACAACCTTAAGAACAACAGAAAGGAAACACCAAGCAGAGCAAGCAATTAAACAGAGGGAAACACGAGGAAACAACAGCAGGAAAACATCATGACAAAGATAAGCCAATACATATCAGTAATAACCATCAATGTGAATGGACTCAATTCACCAATCAAAAGAAGTAGACTGGAAGATTGGATCAAGAAACAAAATCCAACAATATGCTGTATGCAAGAAACACATTTAATTCAAAAGGAAATTCATAGACTGAAAATCAAAGGATGGAAAACAATACTACATGTGACACAGACC